CTCCCAGATATTTCTCTTCCTTGCACTAAGGACTAGAGAAAGGGTCAATGCCTCAAGATTCCAAGTTAGCCACTGCAATTTGGCAATCCTGGCTCATGAGGTTTGAAGAAATAAAGATGGAGGTCTCTCTAAAATCATTCTAAGAACATTGGGTTAATGTTGCCAATGTTTCTTTTTCACGTGAAGACTTACCTTGATGTTCCACTTCATTGCTTTCTCAATAATAGCAATGTATTCATGAAAAAGGACCACAACCTTCTTGGTCAAGGACCTTTCATTCTCCACCAGAACAGAGAAGTTTGCCAACTTAGAATCTCTTGCATGAACTTCAGTTAAAATATAGGTGCAAGTCCCCTGGAAATCATAAGCCCGTCTATCAAAAGTCAATTAGTGGGATCCAGCAGATGCATCTTTGAGATGCTTTGCTAATATGAACATATCAGACATGACATCATGGACTATACAATCTGTAAATCTGTGGTTTCAAATGCAGTTAGTAAAATAGATGGTACAAATTGATGGCTACTTGATTTTTTTTTATTCTATTATGCCTTTGAAAGACTTTTAAGGAACCAGCAACTGAATGACTTTCTACCCCTGTGCTATAGAATTTGTCCTAGCTTGCTGCATCTGCACATGTTTTGGTAACTGCACAGTGGTGGATAGGAAAGAACTCCAAAGGGTTACAATTACTGCCCAGAGAATCATTGGTTGCCCTCTCTCCTTTTTGAAAGAACATTATAACCTCAGGACGTTCTTAAGGACCCATCTCACCCGGCATAATCCTTTTTTTTTTTTAAGTTATTACCATCTTGCAGACAGTACAGGATGACAAAAATAAGGACAAAGAGAGATAGCTTTTATCCAAGAGCTGTCACTATGTTGAACTCCATGGTTTCACACTGATGTGGTATTGGGGGCTGTGCAGTGGTGGTTGGAGTGTAGTTTTTGTGATGTGCTGGGGAAAGCATTGAATCTTGTTGTACCATGTACAATGATAATAAAGTTATTCTCTTCTATTTAACAGTATCCAAGAAACATGGTGTAAAAGCTTGCATGTAAGACTAGGAGATTATCTACATGGGCGCATTATTTCAGGACTCCAGGCCAGCGTTTCTCAACCTTGGGGTTGGGACCCTGGGGGGGGGGGGGGGGGGGGAGGTTTGTGAGAGGGGTGTCAGGAGGGTTGCCCAAAACCATCGGAAAACACAGTATTTGCTGTTGGTCATGGGGGTTCTGTGTGGGAAGTTTGGACCAATTCTATCATTGATGGGGTTAAGAATGCTCTTTGATTGTACGTGAACTATAAATCCCAGCAACTACAGCTCCCTAATGTCAAGGTCTATTTCCCCCAAACTCCATCAATGTTCACATTCGGGCATATTGAGTATTTGAGCCAAGTTTGATCCAAATCCATCATTGTTTGAGTCTACAGTCCTCTCTGGATGTAGGTGAAGTACAACTCCAAAACTCAAGGTCAATGCCCTCCAAAACCTTCCAGTATATTCTATTGGTCGTGGAAGTTCTGTCTGCCAAGTCTGGACCAATTCTGTCATTGGTGGGGTTCAAAATGCTCTTTGATTGTAGGCGAACTATAAATCCCAGCAACTACAATTCCCAAATGACAAAATTAATCTCCCCCCGCCCCCAACACCACCAGTAAATTTGGGAGTATCGGGTATTTGTGCCAAATTTGGTCCATCCTGCATAAAATCTGAAATGCTTGAAAATACATCCTGCATATCAGATATTTACTTTATAATTCATAACAGTAGCAAAATTACAGTTATGCAGTAGCAACAAAATTAATTTTATGGTTGGGGGTCACCACAACATGAGGAACTGTATTAAGGGGT